TATATATATATATATATATATCCGTATACATGCATACGTCAGACTCGTGCTTTATATGTACGAAGCGAAATGAAAAGAGGCACAGGAATTATCGGCGTCGAATCACCCTCTACCATTTTTTACAAAGATTGCAGATTATCTTTGAAGGTAACAGCGGTCTCCAGATTCCTCGGTTCTTCGCAGCGGCCCAGCTAGGTTCGATTATCTAAAGTGGCCATTCTTGAGAATCTGTAGCGAAACTACCAGGCATAAAGAAATTTTGGTGGTGCTTTTATTGAAGAAATCTGGCGATCTACGTCCCCATAAAAAAAAGCGAAATAAAGGATGTGTGCACCCAAGTTTAAACTTTCCGAAATTTTCAGGTGTTTTACCCGAAATTTTAGGAAAAGAGTCAAGTACTGCGGAATTATTCTGGTGAACGTATGGCCCAAATGATTTTCACAGATAATTGCCCATGTTACAAGAAGAAGAGAAGTCGTTAAGACGACGTTAGGTCGGAGTAGCTCCTGACCACTTCTGACTCCTACCGTGAGGACCCATGCAAAGAGAACTTGAGCATGTTCGTGAGGAGGAGAGCACTGAGGCTAGGTCCAGTGCATCACATCTCGTGCAAGTGATAATCAATACCAGTTGCAGAACCGCTTTGCAGAGAGATCTCCGAAAGTACGGACAATGGGAACTTTTGGAGTTAGGCAAGAAAGAGGATTCTGAAGAGGTACCCTCGGGACCTTTCGACGGGAGGCAACAAACTCAGAATTACTTTTGCATGTCTTTGACACTTCAGCTGCAATGATTCCATCTTCTCTTGGGAAGAAGAAGTTCGTCTTCTTTCAAAAATGTTGTCAGCAGAGTACGGTGGTTCAGGTTTCTGCTGTATTTCTTCGAACTTCTCTTTCCCCTTCGAAAGTTTCATTTGCCTGTACTTTCGAGGCTCTCCCTGCAAAGGTGTTCTGCAACTAGCACTGGCTACCTTTTGCTTGAAATGTGATTTAATTAAGAAAGGTGACCAAGTTAATCGATCGTCAGTTAACTTGGTCACTTTTCTTAAATATACTAAATTCTGGTTCGTTTAGCGATACTGCATGTTTGATGACACAAAAAATCAAGTGAACTTGACTTACACTAATTTTCACGATAGTATTGGTTTGGTTTCTATGAGCACAGATGGAATAGAAATCTCTGAGCTGTGCAAACAGCTGCAACTTTGTGTCTTTTCATAGCTTTTGGTCTTCTATGAAATAAACACAATCCCTCGACGCCTTCAATCGACTCTGGTATCTGGCACATTTCATGGTTTGCATTCTACTTCTTGTGATTATTTCATGTCCTTTGTCCTTTTAATGTGTTAGCTTGTGAATTTTGGCGATTCTATAAACCTTCTCAAAGGAGAAATCTTACACTATTATATGGTGTCAGTTTATACATTGAATTAGATTGTGCTAATTTGCAACAATCAAATGTTAGATGCTGAAGAAGCAGAGAAGGAAAGTTTAAGTTTTCGGGATTCTAAAAAGCCTAAAAATTATAATGCTAGTTCTTGGGGTAGTAGGAGGTGCCGATTACAGAATGATATTCATTCCCCAAGGAAGGACCTATTTACAGGATCACGGCATAATGTTATAAGGGTCAAAATAAGGTTGTCTGAAAGTGGTCTGTGAGAGTTTTTTGAATACTAATCAAGAAAATAATATTCAAATCGCAAAATATGTCAGAGTAGAATTAGGGTAGATGTACGATATAAAGGTTAAAATCATTAATTTAAAAACTGCTTTATGCTACGTAAGCCATTATCATGATTGGATCAGGATGTCGGTCTCAGTAGATCAATTTTCAGGCCATCCGCAATTTTTCTTGTAGCGCATACCTCCATAACATTACAGTAAGGCCCTATTTTGGAAAATACATATGATTTTCCTAGTCAGCCTAAGCAATTACCTCACTAGGTGGCGGTAAAGAATTGAAAGTACCTCGCATTTCAAAAAATTAAGGTATCGATTGAGCATTTTGTCTCCCTGAAATAATTCAGTTACTTCCAATTTACCAAAATCGATATCAGGACAAGGACAAACCAAATACCGCTTTATAGAGGGACACTTCCAAATGATGTCAAGAAGTACAACATACAGAAATTACCAGATACAACATATCAAAAAATTTGAAAATTTCGGCTTTCAAAATTTGTGTGACAAAACGGCCCAAACTGTACGACTACCCAATCCAACTTATTCTAGAGCACGTTGGTTTTTAATATAGCATCGTTTGCCTGTGCAAAAAAAAATCCATGTGACAAATAGGTAATGCGCAATTTTGACATTCAAAAGATGGTTAGTGAGACAGTGAACGGTGAGTTAGTTGCATGACCACCAATCTCCTATTAATTTTCGTTGGTCTTCTTGTTTAGGACGGCCGTGTTTCGAACGGTTGGGCTGAACGTGTCTAAACGTTCTTTTACCATATTTGTGGCGAGGACAATTCTGCGGTAATCACCTGAAGTATGGAAAGTATCATTTACATTTATGCAGGTTATATAAATTGGATTATAAGTGAAACCGTAGATCTTTAACGATGTGAAGCCATTTTCATCCCATCCGAGATCAAGCTGCGCACCACTTATGCTTTTGATATTTTCTATTCGATGTCCATTTTTTCCTAAAATGTTTTTTAGAGAGATAAAATATGACCTTTGATCGCTAAATGTATAAAATTCAAGTTTTCATTAGTCAATCAAATACGGACTAAGTAAATGTACGTCTGCATATTCGTTGCTCGAAGTTTTTAGTTTAGTTTAACTTGCCAATCAATTGTCCAGCCAAAGAACTTGGTATTTTTGTTGAATGGCAAAAGGACTGACGAAGTATCTGCAAAAGAAGTTCATGTATCTCAATTCGTGCGGCCTCTACAGCTAAAGGGAGACCAGTTATGCATAATTTGATTGTTTTATCTCCTTCTTTTCTTTCCATCTGTAGAATCGCCTAAAACATAGAATTTACGAAACTGATGGAGCTTTGAAAAAAAAAACAACTTTTTATACCTTGGTTTTGTTCTGAATTCTTTTCAAATTAAAGCCATTCTTCCCTATAAGTATGCCAATGTGTCGTCTATCTAGTAGGTCCGTTAAATCGAACACTTTCGAAGCAGCCGTCATCTCTAGAAGAAGGTAAATACAAAAAAACCTAGGTTGTGACCGAATGATTGAATAGTTTCTGCATTTGCACAGAAATTCTGATTCCCAAAAAGATCAGCTATAATTGTTTCAAATCATAATGGTTTTCTGCTGGAGCCTGTTGTTGCGCAGTCGCACCGCGTAAAACCGCGCCACGAAACAGCGGAGCTTTGGCGTCTTGGAGAAGAAGTAAAAGTGAAAAGAACAGATCCACCACGCCACAATAAAACGCGTAGTCGAATGAGGACGTTATCAACTCCTTGCACATCAATCGTGTTATAGTCGATTCGTGACACAGGATAACAAAAACGCTTGGAGACAAAGCGGCGGCGCACCGACATCTCTGAGTTCTGAGCGCGGGAAATTCGAAAATCAACTGCGTGTATA